TGTTTCAACGAATTTACCTGAGTGTAAATGTATATAAAATAAAATAATGTTTTAAGTTAAATAATATTCATGACAAAAACTATTTTTAGAACCTGCTTCCCCTGGGTTCTCCTAGAGTGAATGATAGACCAATAATAACTTACAAATACTATTTATTTATATACATACAGTAGAACCTCCCTGTAAAGGACACCTAATTGCAGAGCCAAAGTGCCTTTAGGGAGAGGTGTCTTCTTACTGGAGAGTTGCTAAATTGTGAAAACGGTAATTTTGCAAATGAAAACTGTCCTTTGTAGAGAGGTGTCTGCTAGCGGAGTGTCCGCTAAAGGGAGGTTCTACTGTATCTAATCGTGGATGGTTTTTCTTGATTTATCAAGAAATTGGTTGGGCAAATATCAGGGAACAGACTAAACAAAGCTTAGTTGATTTCTGTTCCACTAGATCGCGCTCTGCCATCTAAAAAGCTCATTTTCTCGTGGTCAGGATATGTTTTCTTTATTTTCACTATATCTAATCATCATTCTTAAGAAAAAATAATTTGAAAATAAGAAAATTAAAAAGATGATGATGATTGTGATAATGAGAGAGAGAGAAAAAAGAGGAGTATGCAAATTCATCAACGCTGCCAAGCATGGATTGTCGCAACGCTCCGGTAAATATTTTGTTTTTCCTTTATATAGTGTTAAAATTGGCTTTGTCTTTCCTTAAAACTTATAGAATAAGGTTTGAATAGATGTATACTGAAATAAGTAAAATTTTAAATATGGATTTACTGATAAGAACACTAATACTGATAAGAACACTAATTGCTAAATTTGATGAAATCTTTGAGTTTTTTTTTACAAAGTCAAACAGAACCAGAAAATCTAACTAAAAATGATCTTTCCTTTTTATCTACAATGGTAAAGTATACAAAAGATGGTATTACGGCCTTGAAGGATATTAACAATCGAAACTTTGTATCTAGATCAGCTTTCTGTATATGTGTCTGACGTCCTTGATAAAAAAACTAGACAAATTCAAGGAAGAACTCAAGACTTTGAGGATTCCTTTTCACAGGTTTTGAACTCCCAAACATCGAGAGAAACTCTAAATAACAAAGTAGTGATAAAGAATTTGTAATTATAGCGCAGCCTTTTAATGAGGGAAATATTACAGATGTACATCACGCTTTTGTTGATAGGATCAGAGTGTTAAGAGAAGAGAATATGAAAGTTAGTCAAAAAATTATAAATACCAAAAAATCAATTATTAAAAAAACTTCGAACGAGAAAAATCTAATTTTCTAAAAGAGGAATTATGCAAATCAACCCAACTAACAAATCTATGCAAAACATTTATTCCGACCAAAAGAGAGCCAACAATAATGGTTAAAAACGCTAGTAAAATCACTGAGGTAAATTCCTTCGAAGAAACAATCTGTCAGATGAACGACGAACTAAAGGATATGAAAAGCGAAATTAAAGTGCTATTCTGCACTAAATCTAACATCTCTACCCACAATATAGTTTTATGTGTTTCTCCTAAAGTTTATCAAACCATTAAGAAATTAAACAATAAAATCTACACTGACTGTGAACGATGCGTTGTTGTAGATCGGTTTCTGGTGAAACAATGCCAGAAATGTCTGAAATTTAACCCCATCCACAAAATGGCAGAATGCCCTAACACCCCAATATGCAGGACATGTGGAGTTCAGGGAGTTCATGATTGCTCGGGAATTCCCAAATGTTTTAATTGTTCCCAACACCATAAGAATTGAAACAGGCCCTCATCACACAGAAAATTCAGAGGAATGTCCTATGTATAAGGCACAAATAGGCAGACTAATCGAAATAACAAGTTATTTCCCAACTGAACAATCAAGTAACTAGTACAAGTCGAACAGGATAAAATGCAAGTTCCGTTAATTGTGTGCAACAAAATCTAAGAAAAAGCATAAACGCAACAAATGAGCTCTGGCTCAGATAGCTAACGACCCACCACACATATTCAGGAGCCTTATATAGTGAACAATGTTGTTATTGTCCTGGTGTGGAACCAACACCTACCCACATATTCTCATGCCCAGCAATGGCCGCAGCCTTGCAGAAAATTGACATGGACCCAGACCAGTAGCTTTACACACCCAAGATAGAGAACATTGCGACTGCTGTGAAAGATGCTTGGAGACATCTGAGGCTCTTCATTGGACAAAACAACAACAACAATATTGTTATTTATGGCGGAGACGAGCATTCAATTTTGACAGCTAAAAGAAACAAGATAAATTCAGCAACAATAAATTTAAATAAAGGATTAAAATTCAATAAGATAGATCAATTCACCAACTCATTTTGAACTACAAGCTCAATACATTTCTCAGTGTCTAATATTATTCTAGCAAATTTTTACATTCTCCCCAACTCTTTTTCAGAATCCCATTAAGAGTTTAATGAAGAAATTTAGAGTTAAAATAATATTCGTCCATAAAACACTCACACAGGAAGAAGCTGGGTCATTCAGTTATAGTATACTAGCCGAATGACCCGGGCAACGCCCGTGTTTTACCCGATTGAATGTTTTGATTCAAATACTATTTGTTACAATTATAAATTGTGGTCATGTGGCCTAGTGGTCATGGCATCTGCCCGGTAAGCGGAAGGTCGTGGGTTCGATTTTTATTTTATCCATTCTGACCAAAATCTATCCGTGAACTTCACACAGACAGAATAAGGCAATTATATAAGTAGATATCTAATATTTGAATTAAAAAAAAAAACACTCTAAAAGATGCAAAATTTTATGTTATTGTAATATATAAATTGCTGATATTCAAAACTTGAAATTTATCATATGTTTTATATTTCATATGTTGTCATATATTAACATTACCTTTCATATTTTAAATAGTGTAATAATAGAATTATCTGTAATTCTTGTTTGTGTAGGTGGAAGCTCCTTCCAGCCAAACTTCCAAGCCTTCATCCTCTCGTACCATTTCCGACAATGATCTGCTAACGCTGTCTGTACCAGAACTCAACAAACGCCTTAAGTCTATGAAATTATCTGAGAAAGAGACCACAGCCATCAAGAAAAGACGTAGAACGCTGAAGAATAGAGGTTATGCTAATACATGCAGAAACAAGCGTAGCCAAACTGAGAGAAGTCATTTGACTAGGATTGCAGAATTAGAGAGACAACTGGTAGAGGTCGAAGCCAAAGATGCCTATATCCTGAGTAAAAGTCGTGATATTAGGTTGGAAACGGCAAGGTTATTGACCATAATAAATGAGCTTGGAATAGAAATTCCACCTGATGTCCGTGAGGAGCTCAACACTTTAGACATTTTGCCAGAACAGAACGAAGAACAATAATCAAACAAAATTTTTACAATTCTTTCTGTAATATATATATATGAAAACAAAAATATTGATATTTCTCACGAATAAACAATATACATTTAGCCATATGTAAAATAAATTTAACACTTATGTAAATACACCATTAATTTAAATTGATATAAATAAAGATGAAAGGTTTACTTATTAATGTTTGTGTGTTTCCCGCCTAAGTATTCGCAATATTTGACCTATCTAGATGATATTTTGACATTATATATAGAAATACATCAGGAAAGAGTCACTACCATTGTTATGAGTTCGGAATATGTTAATTAGTTCGCTAAAAGACGGGATATCTCCTTAAGACTTACAATTTTTTGGGCAGCCGTTTCTTTGGCGTATTTGGCGACAGGCATTCCCGGATGCATAAAAAGAATTCGTTAAGAAAAGTTATGTTTTAGCGCTTCAAAATCCCAACCCTAACTTTAAGTAAAATATAATAAAATATGTCAGTAGCTTATCTTTATACTGTTTGTTCAAATTGGCATATTTTAGTAGCAGTAGCAATTCGTCGCAATGTAAAATCTTGCTAAAGTACATCAGCTCCACAGTACCTGAAGAGTAAGCGTACAGAGTAGTTAATTAGACGAAAAACATGGTAAAGGAAGACGAGTTTATTTTATTGATGCATAGGTGCAAGCTTTCTGGTAAAAACCCCTCCAACAGGCGAGCAATGAAGCGCGACTTATAATAAATATGGTACAAATGGTAGGAAGGAATATATATATAAAGGAAAGTTTTTAAACTATTTATATATGTTAATATTAACAGAAGACCGATTTTTGAGAAAAGTAAATATTAAATCTGCAGTCTGAAACCACGAGACGGCGCATGATTAGGGCTATTGAAATAAACATGTGGGAGGTTTAAATAAAGGACAGGAGAGGAATATAAGCTTCTGGAAGATCTATTTTTCTGTTGATGCTGTTCAGTTTGTGGGATACTATGGATTCTAGGATAAGTCTTTGGTGTAAGATATGTATGTGCCTGTAATATATGGTGGGGTTTTTGATGTTGAAAGTGTGGCCTGTGCTCTGCATATGTTGATAAATGAGGGATTTGGTATCTTGCCTGGAAATATTATGGGAATGTTCAGTCATCCTGATGGCCACAGATCTACCTGTCTCACCAACGTAAGTGGCAGGACACTGTTCACATGCGACGGAGTAGACTGCGCCCATAGAACGAAGAGGGTCAGGAGGAGCTGAGGACTTAGTATGAGGATGACGGAGGGATGAAAGAAGATTCGAGGAGTTTTTATATACGAGGTGTGTTCAAAAGGTATCGCGACTATTGTGTTTTGCAAAAATTATTTATTTATTCATGAATACCTATTTTGTCCCCTTCAAAGTAATCCCCATGAGATATTATACACTTGTGCCAACGGTTTTTCCAATCTTCGAAGCACTTCAAAAAATCATTTCAAAAATTTTTTTTCAGCTCCTCCTTCGATGCAGTCTTTATCTCGTCAAGCGTAGCGTAACGTCGTTCTTTCATGGGCCTCTTCAATTTAGGGAACAAGAAAAAGTCACAGGGGGCCAGATCTAGGGAATACGGTGGCTGCGCGGCATCATTAGTGTGTTGTTTTTGGCCAAAAAGTCGCGCACAAGCAACGATGTGTGAGCAGGGGCGTTATCGTGGTGCAAAAGCCAATTTTTATTCTTCCACAAATCCGGGCGTTTCTGGCGGATTGCTTCGCGCAAATTGCGCATAACTTGCAGGTAATATTCCTTATTGACCGTTCTACCCTGTGGCAAGAACTCATGATGCACCACTGTCAGCAAAACTTTCACATTCGACCGAACTTGGCGCGCTTTTTTCGGTCTTGGTTCGTGCGGCAGCTTCCATTGAGATGATTGAGCTTTGGTTTCCACGTCATAACCATAAACCCACGCTTCGTCACCAGTTATGACCCTCTGGAGCAAATTTGGGTCGTCGCGGACAGAGTCCAACATCTCATTAGCAATGATCATGCGATGCTGTTTTTGGTCGCAATTGAGCAATTTTGGTACGAATTTCGCGGCGACCCGTCTCATGCCCAAATCATTGATAAAAATCGAATGGCACGAGCCAATCGATATGTTTAGGTCCTCATCAACTTCTCTAACGGTGATTCGACGATTGGCCAATATCATTTTCTCCACTTCATTAATTTTTTCGTCTGTTGTTGAAGTGCTCGGGCGTCTGGCACGCTCTTCGTCGTTCACATCTTCTCGGCCTTATGAGAACATTTTGTACCACCGATAAACGTTGCTTCGGTCCAAGGTAGCTTCTTCGTATGCCACAGTCAACATTCGGAATGCATCCGCGCACTTAATTTCGTTTTTCACACAAAATTTGATACAGGTTCTTTGATTCATTTTTTTTAATAGGTAAAAATCGAAGACGATCCAAAACACCTGCAAGCAAAGCAGCTGTCAACAATCAAGTGAACATTCAAAATGGCCGGGCTTGTCGGCATAAGTGAGAGACATGAGTACCAACATAAAGCCACAAAAAGATCGAAATTCAAATATACGTAACCCGCGAAAATCCAAAATTCGCGATACTTTTTGAACACACCTCGTATGTACCATTAAGTTTTCTGGCTATATCTACTGAGGAGGGGGAGTAAGGAAGAAAGCACAATGATCTGTAAGTCATGGAAGGATTGGAAGTTGTAGGTGTATAAGTATATTTATTAATGAACGAGAGCGGAAAAGAAGCTGCGGAGAGCTGGGTTATGATACGATTTCTTTCTATTATTTTAAAGATGTCTATGGAACAATGGGTGTATATTCTTTTTGTAAGGGTTCTGACAATATTGATTTTATGGGAGGTAGGACAGTGAGAATTGTAGTGAGTGTAACGGGGGGGGGGGCATTGTTTTTTTTTATGATAAACTAGTGTGAAATGAGGATGGGGTGCGAATAATTAAAATATCAAGAAATGGGATAACATGGTTAGTTTCTGTTTCAAGAGTAAAGGAAATATCCTGATTGTAATTATTAAGAGTTAGTAGTATGAAGCTCTCTTGACCTTTTTTGCATATACAGAAGATATCATCAATGTATCTGCGCCAGAAATGAATTTCTGTAGAGAGGGTATGGGTGATCCATTCATCTCTTCTAGTCATGACTATTTCAGCAATAATGGTAGATAGAGGGCTGCCCATTGGGAAGCCCCTGAACTGTCTATAATGGTGCTGTAGGAATGTGAATGTGTGGGTATCGACATTTTGTGATTGAAGGAAATGAATCAAGCTATCTGTAATGAGTTCATGGGAAAGACAGAGGTAAAGGGAGGTGACGTCGAAGGAACACATAGTAAAGGTAGGATCAGGTTTAAGAGCTGTTAATTCATTAATAAAGTGAGGGGTGCTGTTAATTGAAAGGGTATTATTGTAATTGGTTAATAAAGGGGAGAGGAAGCTGGAAAGCTATTTAGCTAGAGGATAAGCGGGCGATAAGTGATAGGCTATGATGGGACGGAGAGGTACTTCTGGTTTATGTACTTTGGGGAGGCCGTATATATAGGCTGAACTATGGAGGTTAGAGGTAAATGAGATATAATCTTCAGGTGAGATGTTTTTAAATTTCTTGAGTCGGAGAAGTGAGGTTTTGAAATCCTTGACAACAGAGAGGCTGATTTGGTCTGTGATGGGTGAAAAAGTGGTGTCATCACTAAGTAAATTATGCATTTTTGAAATATAACTATCCTGATTCAAGATAACTGTATTAGCCCCCTTATCAGACTTAGTGATAACTATTGATTTATGAAGTTTGAGTTTTTTGAGTGTAATGGTGTTTTCAAGATGGTTAGAGGGAGGAAGAAAGGGCTTAGATAGATTCTTAGATACCATGGATCTAATGGAGAACTTCTCTTGCAGATTGAAGGATTTGATGGATGATTTAATGGAGCTGATGATTACTGGAGGATTGGGATTGGAGGGAATGCGGTACTTCAGTTCTTTCTCAAGAAGCGAGGTCTCAGATGGCGACAGAGTGTGGTTTGATAGGTTAATGACAGTAGAAGACTTGGGGCCAAAGTCATGAGAGAAGGTGTAACGGAAGGCATATTTCTTTTTCCAAAAGAGAATTTTCTTATGGTGTCTGTCTAGAATTGTTTTTTCTTGATACTTAATATCAATAGTGAGTTTTATAATATGCTTCGAAAGATTTGCCAGGGAGATTCTTTGGGATACTAGAAATATAAGATCTTTGATTGACTTGGAGAGAAATCTAATATTAGAGAAACAATTTTTGATTCTTGCATAGAGTAGATAATATACATTCGATAGATTTATAAAAGGCGTATAT